GTTGGAAAAGTGGGGGTCGTCTTGTACATGGGGTCGTCTTATTGATGGAAAAATACGGTATCTTAATGGCACACAAGCCCTGTGACAAAATGTTTGAAGAGCAAAATATAATCAACACCCATACAGTTAGGCTGCTTCATTTGGAACTCATTTTTGGCACTCTAGAATTGTACAACTCCATTAACAGTAGCCTCTAAACAGTGTAAAACAAGGACCGTGCCTGTTGAACGATGGGTGATCCGAGCAACGGGGTAATGCCTGATTCGGGTGTTTCGGAAGATCTGACGAGATTTTACTGCACGTCCAAAGCGCCGCTGTCTCAGAACCAAAGTCCTTGGCTTATAAACTGGATATTTCACAGTTATAACTTTCTTCTTGCATTTCTTTGGTTTTTGTTTGTAGGTATATTGTTGAACATTGCCACCTACAGCAGAAAAGTAATGCAGTTTTTAAAGTCCTTTGGAGGAAGCAGGGTGTCTGTCAATCCTGAATGTCCATAAAGTATAAAAATACATATTTGCAATGATCTATCTCATTTGTGTAACAACTGATTTCATTTCACAAATGACATAAATTGCTGGAAATTTCAAAATATTGAAAAGTCATCAAAACTACTTAGCATTCAGTGCATTTGTTCATTATTTCAGAGAGGTGTCTAGATGGAAATTTGGTCTGTTGCACCCAAAGTATGCTAAATGAGGGAGAGGGTCCAATAAATCAAACAAGAATAAATATTCTTCAGTTACTTTGATTCCAGGAACTGTTGTGACATGGGAACAGTATTGATTATGACCACAGATTTGCACCAGCACTGCAATTGGCATTTAAACTCCTCTCTCTCTCTCTCTCTCTTTCTCTCTCTCATTTAAATATGCAATAAAAGGAATGCAGATGCCACTAGACTACAATTAAAATAAAATTTTTGATAGAGGAAGGAGCTTAATAATATTTAAAAAAAAAAACAACCAGACTTAAAAATACATGTTTAAACAGCGATATTGGAAGATGCCGGAGGCAGATGATCACTTTAGCATTACTGGCAAAGTCATCAATTCAGACTGCGCAGGAGAAGGCAATGGTAAACCACTCCTGTATTTTTACCAAGAAAACGACATAGATAGAAAGTATAAAATTATTAACCACTTCTTTAATGTACCTGATAGATAATGCAAAACAACAACCCTACCTTCTTTAAAAAAATATACAGATTCCGGCCTCCTTCTGTACGGAGCCACAGAAAGAGCTCCCATGATTTTCCCATTCAGTCCTCCAAATCCTTTTAGAATCAACTTAGGATAGCCAACATCCATTATATCATTGGTGAAGCGCCAGTACTGAGGCCCCTGAAAAGTACAATGCTAGCTGAAGTTATACCAGTACATAAAAATATGTTGCATTAGGCTCTGATGCAGCTTGTAATTCTTTCATGCAGAAATGTAACACAGGGCTTGAAAGATTTTCCTTCTACAGAGCAGCACATGGGAGGAAAATGTAAAAGTAAATATAAAAGTCCACTGGAGTTGGGTGGCCAATGCATTTAAATAAATAAATAATGATCAAATGCAGAACTCTAAACTCTGGTTTAAGGGTTTTTTTATATATACTGTATATCAATGCATGAGTTGCTTATTGCTTTTATTAGCCTTATCACCATTTTTGTGACTTAATGCCAGTTTAAAAGCACAATTACAATCTTATACAAATCAATTTAAAATAGTATAAAAGTGGGGGAAAGTGCTATTAAAACCAGAACTGACTTGTAGAAGTTTGCATCTGGAATTCTGTTCAGAAGCAACCAAATGCCCCATAGAATACAAGCCATCACTAAGAATGCTCTCCTCTATATGTTGATGACAGATTGAAAAACACAGGGAAATATACAACTTGGAAGAAACACCAGTTGAGTTTTGCTTCTAATATAGGAGTTTTTTTAGCCGTGACTAACCAATTGTGGAGTTATGGTAATTGCAGAATCAAGTTCCCCCAAAAAGGTGGTTTGTAGGGATGGATAAAATGGAATAGCTCATTTCAGCGAGTTTGTATCCAAACTGAAACATGCTTGTTTGATCTTGATACAGAACAAAATCACGGGGTTATTCTTTTCCAAATATGGACTAAAACATCCTAAGAGGAAAAGGTTTGAGGGGAGGTTGGGGGAGTAAGAGTAGGGAGAAAAACAAGAGCATTGACAGTGACTGAGGGGAGATGGGGAAGGGAGATCCAGCCTTGCCATATTCATCCTGAAAAGACACTTTCAGATCCCTGCAAATTTTGTTCTTGGCCAACGGGCAAAACAAGAAAGACATTCAGGATTTATGAATGAGCAATGTGCTAGCACATCCCTCGTGTTTGTGGTCTCATTGTGCAAGAGCTAAAACAAACTAGGAAAGAGAGACTTGGCAGAATGAACTGCTGGTGTACTTTAACCAATTTTTTTTTCTTTCCTGGAAGTGGTTTGCTCTTGTCTCCTTCCTAGGGCTGAGGGAGTGACTGGCCCAAGATCACCCAGCTGGGTTTGTGCCTAAACCAGGACTAAAACTTCCAGTCCCTTGGTTTCTAGCCTGGTGCCTTAACCACTACATCAAACTGGCACCATTCTTTAACCTATACGAAATTGAGCTTTGCTGGAGCCTTTAGGTCTAGTGTTCTCCAACTTGTTGCTCTTCAGATGGGACTACAATTCCCAGCTATTTCTTCAGAGATAGTTCACCAGGAAGAGGGGCTGCAAAAATATATTTTAACAGTGAATTTGAAGTAAGCATGGAGAAACACTACATTCCATTTATTCAAATGGTTGTAGGTAGCCAAAGCTGCAGCCCAGAAATTCAGAAAAAAACTGCTTGCAGTTTATTTTCACACAGACACATCCTAAGCCATGACAACAGTATCTTAGCTTACATGGTTACATGGAAGGAATTAGCTTGAATTTTTTAAAAGCTTGGGTATTTTTTACAAACAAGTATGAGTTAACCTGGCCCACCTGGGTTCCTGCTAGGCATAGTTTATTTATGAGGCTTTGGGAGTGGGACAATTTTAAGGCAAATTGGCCTTCAAAATTCCTGGCAATACATCTTAGGAACATCATGAAAGAGAGGACAATTCAGGATCCCAGTTTAAGACAGTACAACAGAAGTACACAATTTGTGGCCCCAGGCTATATCCCTGTATGTCTTGTGCATGGTTCTTGAGCCCCTCCAAAAGTTGTCATCAAATTGACAATTGTTAATATGACAATTGTGGAGTATAGTATTTGACTCTGGAGTACCCCTAGGCGGTGTACAGAATGAATTTAGTTTCAATTTTATTTAAATGCGGAAGACAGAGCGAAACTGTTTTTGTCCTGGTCCCATCCACTTTTTGGAGTGCAGCCCCCATGTGCCCTCAAAGGGCCAAGTATACCTGTAGTCCTTGCCTGAAAGTTAATGAACATCTATCACATAATTATATCATTATTATATCCTACCTTCCCCACAAGGGGCTGAACTGACATACACTGTCCTCTCCACTTCCTAGACATACACACCAGGGGTTTCCCCCACCTTTATAGCAAAGCTTGAAGATAGCACAGAATTGGTGGGGAGATGGTCTTTTCATACAATATATTAGCATGATTATATGATTCACTTACCTATTTGTCAGAGGTTTCCCTATACACTGACTTATCAGATAACTACAGTGGGCTGTACTAGTTGGGCTACTACTACAGTTGGGCTACAAACTAGCAACTGCTTTTCATTTATTTATTTCTTTATTTGTTTAGATTTCAACTGCTATTTATTTATTTATTTAGGTTTCAAATTTGTCACTGTCCATCTCACTGCAGAGTGACTCTGGGCGGTTTACAGCAAAAACAATACATATTAATTAAAATAGATAAATATTAATTAATTAAACATAATTAATTAATTAATTAATTAATTAATTAATCCAAATATGTTTAGCCTAGCATATGCTATGAACCTAGCCTCTGTGTTTGTATGTGTGTGTGACTGGCCAAATGTTATCCACTGATCTTTGTGTTAAGGTGGAAATTTGAACTTCTGTATCGCAAGTCTCTGTCCCGAGCTCTCTACAACTAAACCATATTAGTTTGTTGATTTAGCTCAACCAAACCTCTCATTAAATGTGACTAGATTGCACCTCTTCAAACAAAGCCATTTCAATGCACAAGCCACTCACAGTTGCTTGGAGTGGGAAAATGCAGCAGTTACATCACTCTGGCATCCCCTTGGTCACTCTTAAGAATCTTGGCAAATAATATCCTGGCTTGAACACCACAGTAAAAGATTTGGAGTTGGTCCAATCCCTTATACAGAGCCTCCTCATGGTATCTTGATTTAACAAACGTAGGTTTCAAGGACTGCATCTGCTTTTCGCTCTATTTTAAAATTCTTGCTGAGGAGCAGGAAATATTTAATACGAAGCAGGATGATTTCGGTGTTTCCTTGAATTTTTTCCCATTCTTCAAACTGTTTCCATATTAGCTCTGAAACAAAACCTTTTTACCAGGTGCCTAAACTTGGATAGCTTCTTCCCTTCATGTTTTGTCATTCAAGCTAAGAGCTGAGAAACCCTGAGAAAGTATGCCATTTACGGTTATAAAATACAGTTGACAAATTGATTAATCATTTTAAACTCTTTTGATTTTAAAAAAGTTTGAGTCCCCTGTTCCCTGTTAATCAAGTATCACTATAACTATTATAAGCTATTTAAATAGTATTTAGGCAATCTACAGAGGAAAGACACTATTTTACAGGAAGAGTGAGAGAAAAGGTGATGTTTCATCTAAAATGGAGCATGCTCTAACAGATATGGGATGATTGAGAGCTAAAGTCATATGCAAATATATGCAGATTTCATAGAACCCAACTTGAACTCTGTAGAAGTATATGAGGATATTTTTTATGGTTTCTTGGCATAGGAATATTTCATTCTGTAATGTTCATTTCTCTGCTTGTTTCTTACTTGTTTTTATCTTGTGTACATACAATAGGACTGTAAGCCACTTAGAGTTGTTTAGCAATTGGAGTGGCATATAAACCTATTAAGCAAAATAAATAAATGATTGAGCTTTAACTGGATTACAGCTTAATATGTATTCCTTAACTTCCTCACCTCACATTTTGCTTAAAATGGGAATATAGAAATGTCCCTGTGTGTGGCTTTGTAACATAATGTCAATCTGCTGCAAAGTTACTTCACAATTTTGTCCATACTTAGAAGCAAGTCTCACTTTCTACAACAGAGTACACTGCCAAAGAGATGCATATAGAATTGCATGAAACAATACAGTGGTACCTCGGGTTACGAACTTAATCCGTTCCATGACTCTGGTCACAAC